TTCTACAGTCAGCATAAAATTAAATGAAGACCTACTTGCTTAGATAGCAAAATTTATCTGAATAGTTTTGTCAACGCTAACTACTTAATAACCATCCCTTTGTCAGTGGCCAACTTTTTAGAAAGAAATTGTCAAAAACTTCATCAAACTTGCTTTGGATAAAAAAGAATTTCAGGAAATTATTGATTTACACAAATTTGTGGTGGAATTTCAAGACATGTTGCGAGTAGAGATTAAAACTATTAATCTTACGAAAGAGAATTTTATTTTTGAATAATTCTTTACTTCTCCCACTCTCCACTACACATCACTTTTTTACCCTTAGCCCTCTACCCCAGCACCACCCATCCCCAAGAATTCTCCCTTCCTTTATCCCGCTACTCCGAAAATGGATTTATAAAGATGAGATATACGAACCAAGACCTAAAAATGGCTTATCAAATAGTTCAAGCCGATTTATTTAACTCTTTACTAAAAGCCCAAGATGGTGACTCAATTCACCTCGCTCACCTAGGCAAAATAACTAAATCAGAAAGAAAACAAAAATGCGGTTGAGATAAAAATACCTATGTCTATTATCGTCTCAATTTTGAGCCTTTTAGTAAACTTAAACAAGCCTTAAACGAGCAGATAATTGAAAAATATCGTCGTCATGGATAAAAAAAATATTTTACTAATCGTGGCCGCTCTCTGTATCGCCCTTTACTTCTACGGACAGCAAGCCAAGAATAGCCAATATACTCAATATCTACCCGTCATTGGCGGTCTGGCCTTCGGTCTCAACACTTTAGTAAATTTAGCCTAATCCGCTATGAATAATCAAGAAATTTCCCCTAATTCCCCAACCCAAGAAGGTTGAATCAAAACTTTGGGCCAATGCCTAACCTTTGCCCCCCTAGTATTTGAACAATTTACCGGCCAAAAAGTCCCTCAAATTGGCGGCACCATGGCTGAAATGCAGATGGCTCTAACTAATATCCAAGCCAATTTACAAGTAATAGTTAATAATCAGCAAGCATTAAGCCAACGAATAACTCAGTTGGAAAATAGTGCGGTGCAACAATTATCATCCCTAACCCAACAATTTCATTCTCTAAAATTAACCCATACCCGAGAACGCAAAGAAATTGCCTATAATAACCCCCTCCCAGAAAACTAATCATGTCCCTTTTCCCTGATATCACCCCTTTAATTAAAGAAGTCCAAGAATTCAAGCAGCAGCAAATTAAAACTAATCAATTGCTGACTGAAATTTTACAAATCTTAAAAGATAAAAAATAATATGCCCAATATTGAAAATTTAGCAAGACAAGAAACACGATTTAATCGTAAACCCGCCACCTTAGATGTAGGACAATTAGAATATTCAGCCGGCACCTTACTAAAATACGGCACCCTGCTTTTTTTCGTGGTTTTAGGTTTAAGTTCGATCGGTTATATGACCGTTAAACAAGTCCAAAAATAATATTTTATGAACCCAGAAAATCAAAATACTTTAAAAAGTTGAGCCACTGGTAAACTGGCGATGTTTACTATCGGCCTATTGGCTGGTTACGCTATTTATCAGATGGGCTTACTCCAAAAAATTAGCCAAAAAATATTTAAAAAAAAATCTGACGAATAACTTTTTGTGAAATCTAAAAGTTAAAATTTTCCCTTATCACTTATGAACTCTCTTGATCCCAATTTACTCACTCAAACTCTCCATAATTTTTTCACTCATAACGCTCATTTATTACCCAATTATATCCCAGACTCAAGAAAAGTAAGTATTCTCTTGTGAACCGTCCCTAATAAGACTAATACTTTCTTATTAAAAATTGCTAATCAGAAATATTTGAGTTCTTATCGGGTGGACAAAAATGGGACTGCTTATTGGAAATTTAGAGAAGTTGAGCGAGATGAGGAACCGGAGCCCCAACTCAATCCGAGCCTTTCTGAAGCAACAGTTAAGACTAATCCGGTCCCTACTCCCCCCAATCTCAACCCGCAACCCTTAAATACTAATCCTATTCAGTCGTTTATCCCTGACCCCACTAATTTGGATCCGGTAGCAAAATTTTATCAAAGACAAGCCAAAACCAAAGTTTTACAAGAGAATTTGAATAATCATGACGAAGCAAATACCACCATTAACCATTCCGACCACTCTCCCACAGTTAGCCAGTAATTTAAAAACTTTGGCCCCAACCAATAATGAAACGACTCAACTAATCACTTACACCCTAATTGCCACGGCAGTAGTAGGGATATTTATTTATCAATATATAAAGCAGCAGGAACAAATTAATTAACTATGGGAATAAAAGATTGATTACCTGATTTTAAAGGGGCCTTAAACTCCTTTTATGATGAGAGATTGAAAACTGCTTTTGAGACTAAATCAGCAGAATATAAAGCCCTGTTACAGGAGCATTTGAGTCGCTGACATAATACTCAAAAAATTCTAGTGGCAGTGGCAGTGGGAATATTTTTGCTATTGTTGATTGCTTATTTTTGGAAAGAGTAAAAACTGATAATTATTCTTGCCGTAGGCCAAGTAAAATAGATTATTATGGTAGCCAGAAGTAAAAAACATTATCAATCAGTTTTTGATAAAGAATTTCATTTAGATAAAAAAACTAAAGGTGCCTTTGCCGATTTTATCAAAAAAGCCAAAAAACGCAAATTTGATCCCAGCAAACACAGCGGCACCATTATCTGTGGACCGGAAGAATTTACTGCTACTAAAAAAAAGTCCCCTAAGTCGAAAAAGTAAGCATGGATAATTTTTTTGAACAGTTATTTAATGTTGTTTATCATGAAGGACAAAAGGATCTAACCAGCCTTTTTGGAGCAGGTGAATATCGTTCAGGGAGCATTAAGTTTGGCGGCTTCTGCCCTAGTTATAATTGGTATGGAAAAACTAATCTAAGTTTTGATAAAGTTGGTCCGTTGGAGACTTCCACCAAAACTATTTATCTCAATATTTGTTTTCTCCACTACTATTTAGGAATTATTGACTGGCCGAAATACGACTTCCCTCAGTTTGTCAATACTATGGCTCATGAAATAACTCATTGCTTATTAGCCGATTACGACCCTAGAGAAGCGGGCGAGCATGGTTTCTGACACAAAATAATTACTGCTTTTGTAGAAAATTACTTGTGGGAAACCAACGAAATTAAAATTTTAGCCCAATTAGTCGCTTCCAACAAATCCCCTTCCCTATCTCATTAGTTTTGCCACTCTTAACTTTTGATCTTGTATGACCCTTTCCAATCAAGAACTTTTACAGGAATTACCCAAATGCTTAGAGAAGGACCCGAACCCAAAAATTAAGTCCCTCCCTTTTAATATCACTTCCCACTGGTCAGCAATGCTACTCTCCTAAAAATTGCTTTAGTTGGTGGTATTATATTACTAATTCTTTACTGCACGCAGGTAACTATTAGTGGTAATATTACTTGACAAGAAGCCCAGAAAGAAACGAATGTTGTCGGAGACCAAAATAACTAACATGAAAAATCTCAAATATCTTGCCCTCGGAATCCTAGTAGGCTATTTACTCCCTTATATTTACACCCTATCCCAGAACTCACACCCAAGCACTCTTAACGAAGAAAATTTTTAAAACTATGTTCAATAAAATCCAAGAATCCAAATATACTTATTTAGCGGTGGGCATTATAGCAGGATTAACTCTCGCTTACCTCTACGCTAATTATTTAAAAAATGCCTAAACTAAAACGCCAGCACAAAGAATGTCATGGTTGTGGTGATACTTTTCACACTTACAAGAATTTTGACTACTGTGCAAATTGTGCCGTTAATAATAGCCGCTATATCGCTCAAAATAGCCCCTGTAGTGAGTGTGATGGATCAGGCTGAATTAAATTCCCTGGTCAGCCTAAACGCCCTTGCAAATTGTGCTATTTAACTAAAACTATGCCTAAAAAATCTACTAAATTAACGAAAGAAGAAAAATATTGAGATGAAATTGACTTATTGGCCCAAGAAAAAATTTATCAACTTTTAACTGCTAATCTTCCCCTTCCCCACTTAAATCTAATCACCGAACCTTGACGCTACGAAGACAAACAACAAAAATTAACTGGATTATTCTTACATAAAGATGTGGATTATCGCACTTTATTAGCCGATATGTCTAATCAATATGGTGAGGAAAATTTACCCGACCAAGAATATTTGGTTGAAGAAATTGCCCTCGAATATTGTCGAATGGTTGTCAAATCTTTGATTGAAAGCGTAAGTGATTATTCCTGCTATGACCCTTCCTATTTTACTAATTTAATTGAATATTGTAATAGCAATGAGTATATAGGTAATGAGCCGGTAAATTATGAGTATCTACTTCAAATTTTTTTTTGCTTTGGAAATAAAGAAGTTTATTGCCTCCATCATCTTTTTCATTTTCACCATAACCATGAAAATAAGGATAAAGGTAATTACCTACTTGGTTATGGTAATTTCTTATATCCCCTCCTCTATGATCTTCAGTTTCAAACTCAGAATATCAGACACCTAATACTGATTCATGCTTAGCACTAGCACATGATCCACTTGTTTGTTCTCTAGTGCCACCTGAGAAAGGAAGAAAACTTTTTAAAGTAGACCACCCTTTTTTCAACTTTCCTTTCTGTCAAATATTTCCCACACAATACTGAATAAATAATTTGTCTGAATTATTTGCTACTTCTTGACCGTCAACTCATTTTTTCCTATTTTGTTCTTTTAATATATCTGCCATTTTTTTCTTGATATCTTGATAATAGTTATTAAACAATTTTAAGTGAAATAAAAGAGTAAATAAAAACTAACTTCTTCTATTTTCTAGATTTCTTAATCTATTTTCATAATCGCTAATGTTCTCTCTCAGCCGTCGAGCCTCATTTTCGCTTTCGACAATCCTTTGTCGCAACCTATTTTGCTCGCCAGTATTATTATTACTAATCGCATTATTAAGCTGCGTTTGTAAATTACTATTGTTTCGTTCAATATTTTCTAATCTTTGTCGGTCAGCCTGTCGCTCTCTTTCATAGCGTTCGTATTCTTCTTTTTTGCCCTGCCTTCTTGCCATTTCTTTACCAAAGCCACTAATTAACTTTTCTATTCTAGTTTTCATGGCGTCATCAATCGAAGTCCCTTCCGTTTGAAGATGATCGATAGAACCTTTTAAAGATTCAATGATAAGTTCGATATTTTCATCACTTCTATTTGTTAATTCACTAACATTACTAAGAAGCATTTCTAACCTTTCTACTTTTTCCCTAATTTGTATAACAAAATCACGTTTAAGAGCCTTTTCTCGATAAAGTTTATAATCAGCATCACTTACTCCCGCCTTATGATCAATTAATCTAAAATGGTCAAAAGCATAATCTTCACTTTTTCCTACATCTCCTTCAGTAGGACAAAAAACGTGGGATTTTAAAGGTTCTTTTTTAATAGTTCCATCAGTATAATGAAGTTCATTTCACTCTTCTAGTTGCTGTTTAGTAAAAGGTCGTTTTTGAAACTGTCATGTTCCCACTAATTCAAAAGCTCTCTGATATCATTCAGCAGTAAAATCTCTTTTTAAAGTAATTATCATTCTATCCTCATTTACTTTTTCGAAATGAACCGGTACATAAAGTTCATAACCCTGTCGAGTATTACTTATTTTTTTTTCGATATGGTCACGCATTTTTTTAAACTCGTTATAAGCATTCAATCTTATGTTACCATAGTCAGGTATATAAAATTTTTCGTCCGGTCATTTATTGCTACCTTTTTCGTAAAATTCATCTACTACCTTATTTATCTCATATAAAGATTCTTTTTTTTAAACCTTGTTAAATCGCAATAATTCTGGAGTATGAGTATACTCGATTAAATACTTTCGCACTAAGGAGTCTAATCGACGCAAAAAATCTAATTCAAAAGCCTTAGGTTCCTCTAAAGGTTTAGGATTTATGGGTTCGGGATCTTTCTTCCACTCACCTTTTCCATTGTTAGCCACCTCATCATAGATATAATTGGCTCGCATTCACCTCGCTTTAATAGCCCCTTTTAATCAGCCAAAATAGGGTAAATCCTCATTATGAGAACGCACAAAAAAAGTAGCCTCTTTAAATCAATCTCTTCCTGAGTAAGGCATTTGACAAAGCAAACGATTAGTAAATATTCATAAACATTTAAATTTGTAGAGAAAAAAGAAAATACTAGTGCCATCTTCTAACTTTTCACTCAACTCTAATTTATTGTCAGCATCCGGAGCTTGTTTTTTATGTAAAAGTTTCTGTAAATCTAAATAACCTTGGGGATCGGGTATCATTTTACGATGTCAATAAGGATTTTGAAAGACATAAGCATCTTCTGTCAAATAAACAGATTGAGTATATAAATCAAGAGTCGAAACTGAATTGCCCTTATCTCCTCCTGAGCGTCCACAAGTTGGACACGCACTACCTTTAGAAAAATTTGCCATATTTTAAAATACTCCTCTATTTTTACAACTCTCAATAATGGCCTCTGTTACTGCCTCATTAGAAATCAATAATCTCTTATGTCAGTCATTAGCTTCTAATACTAAGGATAATTCTTGTTTAGTGTCATAAGTTTTATGAGTAATGAAACAAAAAAAAGTATCGTCCCGATTAGCCTTAATTTTAGTATTACTCGCTAGACCGCCACTTTTTTTAAAGTCATCATCACAGATTAAGAAACGATCCCGACCAAGAATGGCTGGAAAGTCAAGACCGCATTGGGTTTTATAATTGTAATGTTGGCGGCAGTGAAAGCAAAGAAAAGTATTGTTTTCTAGTTGAGGTTGATAATCTGTCATTATTTATTTATATCTATATTTCTAATTTAACACCGACAACAAACAAACCAACTGAACTACTGAGATAACTAAAGTCAAAATACCAGTGCAAACGATAATATCATCTAAATTTTTTTGTATTATTTTTACACTATTTTCTAAAACATTTAACCATAAAAATAATGAATTGTAAAAGAGATAAGATAAAACTACCAATTGAAGTTCAGATAAAAATATCTTCTTTATGTTTTCGTCATCAAGTATTTTTGGTCTCCGACAAAATATTAGATTTATTTTTGCTTTTGAGTGGTGGTTCTTCACTATTTTGCTCTACGACCATATAATACTTAATTATTTAGGAGCAACTTCTATATTAACCTCTAACTTTTCTAATCCAATTCTTATTTGTTTCATTGCCTCTGCTTGGGCTTTTCTTAAATTAGTGTTCTCCTCTTCAAGCCTGGCTATTTGGGCTTTTAGTTTTTCATTTTGAGATTGTTCCTTTCTTCCTCTCAACTCCTCATTCTCTTCTTTTAACTCTACTAATTGTCCTAAAAGATTAAGCGATAAATTATTTTTTAAGGAAGTAATATTAATTTTCTTATCATTAATTCAATTTTTTAATAATTCAGATTGTTCACTAGTTAAATTATCCACATGCAGATAACTCAAAGGATTAGCCCCTAAATGGATGGAGGCTAAATTAGGGAAAGTGGTTAGTAAATTAAAATCAATATCCGTAATCTCATTATTGAATAAATGTAGTTTGGTTAGACTATTTTTATTAGGTAAAGTTGATAATCAACTTAAACTTTTAATCTTATTCTCGGCTAAATTAATAACTTCTAAATCTGGACTATTCACAGTTAAACTAGTTAATTCTTGTTTAGTAATACTGATTCATTTAAGGCTGGTAAATTCGGATAAATCCAAAGAACCCGTTAATTTCTCGTTGGAATCTATTTTTAAATAGGTGATATTTTTATTGGGGTAATTATTGTTGATGTATTCTTGTGCTTTTACCATAATAAATGATTTTAGCAAAAAACTAAACAATAGTATCATCCCTATATTGTCTCCATCACTTATTTTTGGTTATAGGGTCTTCTTCCATTAAGTATTATTTTGGGTAATTATTATTTAGTCTTGAGCCTTTACTTAAAGATAACTTCGGGTTCAAAATGGAGTTTAACCCCAGCATTGCGAAATCCTTCTTTTATATCATAAAAACGCATCTTACAATCATGGCAGTTATCAATTTCTTTTTCTCAAAAGGCTAATCAATAAAGTGTTCTCCACCGGATAATTTCTAAACCTTGACTACTTTTGTTTAGTTCACTTCATTCTTTTGAAATAAAATTCTCAAAAAACTTACAATGCAGATTTTTAATATCTATTATTGTGCTATTGGTCATAAGATGCCGACACTGCTTTATCCAGCGACTCCTTAAATATTTGGAGGTCTAACTCTCAACAACTCGAGTGGAACACTATTCTATAAGGCAATACTTCATTTTTTATTATTTCCTCCTTTTCCTCTTTTTCTTTTAAACAGTCTAATTCATAATACTTTTGTAAATCTAACCAATAATCCTCGCGTACCCCTCAATACAGACCTAGACGATAAGAAATTTCCGGAGTAATATCTCTCTTTTC